TTTTTAAGTATTTAAGTCATAAGTAGAGAATTGTAACACATTATTATTACATATAATGCAAGTGATTAATCTCCTAAAACTGCATTATCTTAAAGTTATGAATTTTAACTTAATAAGAAGCAATTAGCCAATTCAGATCTTTTAATAGAAGGAGTAAGTCTAATCCATACAGATATAGATTTTTCAATGGTACCAGACTAAAGTTTATTTTCAAATTTTTAATAAATACCAGCTGCAGGGCCATTGTAATCTAATTATATATCATCAACACCTTAAAATTCTACTTTTTAATATACTTTATTTTTAGGAACGCTATCCCATTATTAATTAAATCCATCTTCTCTATAACAGCCAGATCCTCCACAGAATACTAAATTAACAATTCTTCCTGGGAAATTTTTATATGACGGTCTTTGTCCTACAAATAAATGGTAAATATTAGAAGATTTATGTCTTATTCCATTATAATTTAAAACATTAGCTTAAGAACCTTAGAATTAACTATAAACAAATGCTTTTTATTACAAATCAGAATATCCGAAATAGATAAGACACCATTTTCCTTCTTCTGATTATTCAAAATTTAAATTTTAATTATAATTAACTTTTTTAGTATTTAAGTCATAAGTAGGGAAATGTAAAATATTATCTATTACATATAATGTTAGTGATCTATCTCCCAAATATGAATTATCATTAAATTCTTAGTTTTAACCCAAAAAGAAACAGTTAGTCCACTCAGTTCTTTTAACATAAGGAGTAAGTCTAATCCAAACCTATATAGATTTTTCTATAGTACCATCCTATAATTTGTTTTCAAATTTTTAATAAATTCCACCTGCAGGGCCATCGTTATCTAATTCAAGATCATCAACACCTTAAAATTCAACTTTTTAATATACTTTAGGAACATTATTCGTCACACTAATTATTTTATTACTGATCAAAATAGGTTAAGCTACCTATTATATTTCTTCGTGTTTAGAATAAGTTAAAGAGTCTGTTGGTTAATTTTAAAGATCTACAGATTTAGGATTCACAGCAATAGTATGTTTATTGTTTTCTTTACTTTTTTCTTTATAATCAAAATCGCTTTTTGAATTTCCGACATTAAGCAACTAATTACCTTTAAATTCAGATTCGTTTTGACCTTGAGCTAATTATAGTAGCAATATGGTTGTTAATATTGTTATAATTATTGTCTTTTTCATTAATTTTTTTTAAAGAAAATTGGTTATTTAAATTATTTTTCTTTTTTTTTTTTTAATTTTATTATATTAAATTTATAAAATTTACTTTTTTTTATATAAATAATAAAGCTTTATAATAGAAAATTAATAAAAGCAACTTTTTTGAAAAACAAATTTTGTTTTAAATAAATTATACTTTTTTTCAAAAAAAATTCTTTTATTTATTTTTATTTTTATAAATCTAGTAAATATTTTTTCTGTTTTAGACTTAAATTTTATAAAACGATATTTTAATTATTTAATAATTTGATTATATTGAAAAACGTTTCGTTTTAATAAATTTATAATTTTTTATATTTAAAAACAATATTTTTAAATATGATTTAAAAATAAAATAAAAATAAAAAAAAATATTTTAATAATAAAGTATTAATATAATAAATTTAAATATTAAAATATTTGATAATAATTGAAATTCTTTATACGATACATTAAATTTTAAATTATAATATTTTTTATAATTATTTTCATTTAAATATATATTTTTTTTTATTTAATGTTTTTAAATTAATTAAAAAAATAATTTTCATTATTTATAAAAAAATATAAATATATAATTTAATCTTTTAATATTTAAATATAAATATTATAAAATTTAAACAATAAAAAAATTCTAAATAATTAATTATTTATTTTAATAAATAATATAATTAAGATTTTAATTAATAGATTTAATTTATTTTACATTTTTAATAATTATAAAAAAAATATTATTGTATAAAATTAATATTTAAATTTATTTATTTTTTATATAAATATTTTTTTGAATAATCTTTAAATATTATAAATATATATAAATATTTTATTTTTAATTTTACATGCTAATATAAATATATTTTAAATAAATATTATTTGTTATAAATAAATGTATATAAATATTTTATATTTATTAATAATATTTATATATTAATTTATATAATTACTATTATTTTTTTATTTTATTATATTTATTTTTACATTTTTTTATTGATTTTTATATTTATAAAATTATATAATCAACATTTTTATTTTATGAAAAAAAATTATATATTAATTCTCTTTTATATTTCTAACCATTATATATAATAAATAAAATTACAAATACTAGTTCATTTTTTTATTTTAAAATAATTATTTTTTAATTTTATATTATATTTTTTTTTGAATATTAAATAAAAAAAAATTTACCATACTTATATTAATTTTTTATATAAAAAAAATTATTTATAAAATTTTATTATTTTAAAAATATATATAATAATAAAAGAAATGTATAATATTATTATTATTATTAACTTTTAAATATTAATATTTAATTTAAAATAATATTTATAATGACAATAACATATTTCATTTTATATAAATATTAATAATTTTTTTATATAAAATTAAATAAATAAATTACTCTGATTTATTTTATCTGCTCTTATACAAGATTAAATAATTTTAAAATATAAATTTCTATCAATAATAAAAACTAATATAAAAATCAGATTTTGAATAATTTAAAAAGAATAAAAACATTTATTTTGAATAAATATAAATATATTTTTTTAATATATTATGATTTTAATATAAATAAATAGTTTTAATATTAAATATGATTTCAAATAAAATATTATTAAATTTGTATTTTTTTTATAAAAATAAAAACTAAACTACTATACATATTAAAAATTTAATTTGTATATTGTATGTCTATATTTTTTTGAAAGTTAAAAGAAATAATAAAATTAAAGAATTTCATTATCTATAAATAAGAAAAAATAAAAAAGAAATAAATAAATTTATATTAATAAAATATTATGAATTAAAAATGAAATATAATAATTCTAAGAGAAAAAAATAAATTGATTAAAATATAAATTAAAAAAAGGTATACAATTTAAATAATGAATATAAATCAAACAAAATTTTATATCTAACAATCATAGTATTAAAAAAATAAAAATAAATGTATTAAAAAAATTAAAAAAGAAATATAAAATTAAAGAATTTCATTATCTATAAATAAGAAAAATAAAAAGAAATAAATAAATTTATATTAATAAAATATTATGAATTAAAAATGAAATATAATAATTCTAAGAGAAAAAATAAATTGATTAAAATATAAATTAAAAAAAGGTATACAATTTAAATAATGAATATAAATCAAACAAAATTTTATATCTAACAATCATAGTATTAAAAAAAATAAAATAAATGTATTAAAAAAAATTAAAAAAAAATATATTGAAGTTGAAAAATCATTCGTTTATAAAATTTTATAAATAGTATTTAACAAAAAAATAAATTTATTATTAAAAATTGTGAGTAAAAAAATTAAACAATAATAGGATGTTAATAATATTTAATATATTAATTTAAACAATTAGAATAATAAAAATATATAATAAATAAATATTAATAAAAAAAAAAATTTATAAAAAAATAGTTTATACAAAAAATAAGAAAAATTTGTAAAAAAATATAATAAATTAGAAAAAAAAAAATATTAATATTGATAAATAAATATAAATATATATATAATAAAAAATGAATAATGAAAAATTATAAAAAAAATAAAAAATATAAAAAAATTATAAAAAAAAATAATATATAAATATATAATTTAATGAAAAAATTAAAAATATAAATATTTATGTATTTATATTTTTTATATTTTTATATTTTTATATTTTTATATTTTTATATTTTGCTATTTAAATTCAAAGTTTTTAATTTATTTAAACTTTTTAATTTATTAACTTGATAATTTAATGTTTGAAATAAATTTTTTATTATTTACTAATATATATTGAAGTAAAACATATTTGATTATAAAAAAAAAAATATTTATTTACTTAATTATTAAATTTTAGAGCTATAAATTTATTAATTTTTATAATTATTTTATAATTATAATTCATATATAAATATGTTAATAAATAAATATATTAAATTATAGTTTTTAAAATAATGAAATGTTTAGATTTTTTATTTTAAATAAAATTAATATAAAAATTAAAAGTTTTATTAAGTTTTTTAAATCATATTTTTGGGAATATTAATTATAATTAACTATTTATTTTTTTAATATTATTTTAATATTTTTTTTTATTAATTTTTTTCATTTGTATCTTTTTTTTTATTTCTTAAAAATAATTAATATAATAAAAAAAAAATATTTCAAAAAATGGTAAATAATTATATATTAATTTGTATTAAGATTAATATAATAATTGTAATATCTAGACATAAGCATAACTTCTTGAATCATTCGAATTAGGAGAATGTATTTCATCAATAGATTTTAGTCCTTAAGGTGATTATGTAGCTATAGGTATGATAGATGAATCAGTTAAAGTTTGGTAATATAAATTAAATAAGAAAAATTCATAAAAAAATAATTAAAAATCAAAGGAAACCAGATTTCAGTTCATCAATAGAAAAATAACTTTTAAATACATTTAATGGACATATAATGGGGGTTGTAGATATTAAATTTAATCCTTCAGGAAATAGTAAAAAATATATATATATTTATAAATACATCTATATTTTTAAGTTCTTGCCGTTAGTTCATTAGATTCTTATATTCGAGTATGGAATGTTGATGAAGGTTAAAAAATTTGTGAATTTCCATGTTAACCATGTAATTATAATAATCTTATTAGAAAAAAATATAAATGAAATAAAAATTAAAAATAATTTTTAATTAAAATAAAAAAAGTGCATAATTGGAAATTAGGATTTAAAGATGAAAAAACAGTAGTAACAACAGGTGAACAAGGAAAGATAGCAGAATTTAATATAAATTCTTAATAGTAAACTAATATATATTCTACATCAGACGTATTTTAAACATCTTTGGCTTTAGTAAAAATAAAAAAATAATAAATATATATATTTATCTATTTATAATTTTATATATTTATATATTTATATATTTATATATTTATATATTTATATATTTATATATTTATATATTTATATATTTATATATTTTTTTTAATATTTAAATATTTTAATAAAATATATGAACATAGTCAAGTGATAGAAGTAAATTACTTTCTGTAGGAAATAACGAAGGGCAAATTTTTATTGTAGATTATAAAAATAATAGAAAAATAGACAAATTAAAAGTACATAATAAAAAAGTTAGATCTTTATGTTTTACATATGATGATATGTAACTTATTACTGGATCTGATGATAATTTTATTTCTCTAATCGATTTAACTAAAATGGAAACAATTTTTTCTTTTAATGGACACAAAGGAAATGTTAATTGTGTCGATTGTTGTCCAATTGATAATAAATTATTTATTACATGGTTTTTATTTAATTTTTTTTTTAAATTAATTTTTTTTTTTATTAAAACAAGTTCATATGATTAAACTATAAAATTATGGGATATTAATAAAAAAAGCTGTATTGAAACTGTTAAATTTCATTAAGATAATATTTGGGCTGTTAAATTTCATCCCCATAAGAAAATATTTGGTTCAGGTATATATTATATACTGATATAATTTTTTATATTTTTATTTATAGTATCTGAAGACGGTATATTAGCTTTCCACGAATTAAAATGAAAAAAAAGCAAATAATATTTATATATATATATATATATATATATATATATATATACATATATATATATATATATATTAATTTAATTGTAAAATTTTGATTTTATTTTTTATATTAAAAAACTTATCATACTTATTTAATTTCAAAACTAACATTAAGGTATTTCTATTAAAGTTAGGCCAAAACCAATAAAGCAATAAGGAAATATATTCCTTTTTTAAATATCTACCATCCTTTTTTATTATCGGTTATATTTTATGAAATAATATTATTTTATAATTCATTTAATAACGCATTATTTCTATATTTAAATTATTATAAAAAGACATCTATATTAACTTTTTAATTAGTTATATTTTTCATAAATTCTTTATTTTATTAATATATATTATCCAAAATATTATTTAATTCGTATTGTTTTTCTAAAAAACTCTTCTCTTATTCCTAAAAACTTTCAAAAAGTATTCTTAAACATGACAAAACAGCACATAAAAGGACTTTTAATAATTCACTTCTTTAAAAAATGGCTAATTAAGGAAAATAATTATCTATTTAATCTCCAGTTATTTAAAAATTATGATTTCTGTTTTATTTTTAGTAGTCTATATTGTCTTAGTTTTCCTCAAATTTTATCAAAATATTATAATGGAAAATAAAAGATAATATAATTATAAAAGCATTCATAAAACGAAATGTATATAATGCAAAACCGTAATTCTAGACAAAAGAAATCATAATAATTAATGTGTAAAAAGCCAATATGTTTATTAATGTTGTAAATTGTTAGATGTCTTTTGTGTTTTTATACTCCTTTTCTTTGTTCAAGTCATTAAAGTCGAATTCACCATAATAATCGTATATTTTTTAGTAGTATTCGTCGTTTAATATATTTCTAATTAGGTTTATTTTGTTAAAATCTTCATCAGTATCTGTGTTTTTGTCAGGGTGTGCTTTTGTTAATAGTAGTTTGGCCTATTTGTTCATTGTTTTGGAAGAATAGGCACGATTTGTTTCCATTATTTCAAAATAATTAGTTTCTTTTAAAAAATAAAAGTATATGAATAGATGAAATAATATTATTAAGAAGGATATTTAGATGTATTTTATAGGAAATAAAAATACTGTTTAGTCTTTTTTCTTTTTTAGGTATTGCTTTACTATTTAAGACAGAATAAAGAAATCGAATAGAATTATTATTATTAGATTAGTTATTGTTATCATTTTTTTTTATTATTTTATTTAATTGTTATTTTTATTATCTTATAATTTTTTTATTTTTTTCTATCTTCTTATATATATATAATTTTTATTTTTATTTATAATTATTTTTTATTGTTTATATTATTATTTTATTTTATTTTTTAATAAAATTAGATGATAATATATTATTTTATGATGAGTTTAATATTTATTAATAATAAAAAACTTTAATAAATAGAATATTATCTTTTTAATTATAAATTATTAAATTGATAATCTCTTTTTAAAAAATGAATATTATTTCAATAATAAAATTTTAAATTAATTTAAAAAATTATATAATTTATAATTAATATAGTTTAAAAAAAAATTATTTTATTTGATTAAAAAATATTAGTAATATTTATATATATAAAAATAAATTTTATTAATAGAACATTTATTTATTTAATAATAATTTTTATATATTATTTTTTTATTAAAAAAATAAAAAATTAAAAACTGTTTATCATAAAGAGAATAATTAATTAAAATATATATATATGTTAATATGTAATTTTTATCAAATTAAATATTTTTTTTTTTAATTTTAATTATTATATTATTTAATTTAGAAATTTAATTTACTAATTTTATGAAATATTAATTTATTTTAATAATAAACAATTTTTTTTTTTTTTATATTTCATAATAATTATAAATTATTTATACTTATTATTTTTATATTTATAAATGAATTAAAACTAATAATTATATTATAAAATCAAATAATAAATTAAAAAATATATATAATAATTGTATATTATTTAACCTCTAAAAGATTAAGATATTTTAAAATAATATATATCTAAAATAAATGAAAGAAAACAAAATTAAATAAAAATTTTGCATTAACATTAATAATAATATAATATATTAAATTTAGAATAATGATAAATATTTGAATATAAATATTAAAAATACATATTTTATTTTTATCTAAAAAAATGAAAAAAATAAATAATAAATATAAATTAAATTATTTATTTTATTTTTTTACTAGATTTTTAATATATTTTTGTTGTTTTATCATTTATTTTCTATTGTTAATATTTTTTAATTTTTTTTTTATCATATTTTTATTTTATACTCTATTATTTATATCTATTCTATCTATAAAAAACAATTATAAATTTTATTTATAATTTTCAAAGGAAAAACACAAAATAAAATAATATTAAAAAAAAAAAAAATTGTTTTTTTTTTAAAAATTAAAATTAAAACCAAATAAATATAAATTAAAACACATAAAAATAAATATATATATTTATTATATAAGATTGCATTTATTAATTACAAATAATATAAATTTTAGATATTAAAAAAAAAGAATCGATTTTCAAAATCTTTTATATTTTATTTTTTTTAATTAAAAAAAATATTTTTTTTTTTTTTATTAATTTTTTTTCATTATTCTTGCTTAATATTATTATTTTCAATTTATAATAAATCAACAATAAAGTGAGGATTATATCTACAATATTTTCTTTTTTATTATTAGGATCTATTTTTTTCTTTCAATGTTTTTTTATTTTTAAATTTCGGGAGCTTTTTCTTCTATTAATCTTATAATTTTCGAAATCAAACTATTATCTAAACATTTAGATTCTATTTTTTCAATATTTTTTAGTTATAAAGAAAAGCTTACATAGAAATGATCTCCATGCTTATCTTTTATATCTTTAGCTAAATTAAAATAAATATAAATATAAATATAATTATTAATATATATATATATATATATATTTTACAATATTTAAGTTCCTATGTTTCAGGTTCCCATGTTAAAAAGTTAATTACATCTCTTTTTTTGATTATCCTTTAATTAAATGAAATATTTTTGAGAAATTATCAATTATTTTCGATTTTTTTTATTCTTATAAAACTTAATCATTTTCAAAAATTTAAGTTAATTTTTAAAATTGGTTAATTTTTTAGTTTGTTTCTTAAACAAATTATTGTGTAGAATTTATTATTTATTAATATTATTGTAAAAAAAGATTGCTTTGATAAATTTGAATGTTTTTATTAAATATTTAGCCTATAAAATTTAAAGAGTCTATTAGTTTATTCATTCTTTCTTATGTTTATTTTAAATCTTCAATAATTTTTTCTATTTGTTTTATATTTATTTGCTAATAAGATGTATCTTAGGTTTCTGGGTTCGGACTTTCGATTAATTTAGAAATCATGTTTTGATTGTTTGTAGAATTATTTAAAAATTAGAATAAATAGTTAGTGTTTTGTATTCCTTAATTAGGATTTAGAATATTTAATTATTATAATTTAAATAATTATTCCATTTAAATTAATAAATTTTGTAAAGAATTAGGATTATTGATTAATAAAGGAATATTTGAGAGACAATTTTATTATTAAATTTCTTCTTTTTATAACATTTTTTTTGTTATGTTTTGTATTTTTGTTTTTAAGATTTTTTTATTAAATTAAATATAAGTATTTTATAATTTTTGTTATTTTTTATTTTAGAATCAAAAATATTATATAAATTTCTATTACTAATTTTTTATTTTTGTCTTTTTTTTTTTAATAATATGTATTATCAAAGCAAGAATACAAATTTAGAAAAAAAAAAAAAAAAAAAAAATTAATTTGCTTTTAGCGTTTTTATTTTAAAATACTTTTTATGATACAAATTAATTTTTTATTCTTGTAAAATGGAATATTAATTTTTATTATTTTAAGGAAATATAGATTAATAAAATAATGATCTTTAAAAAAAAATAATGAATTGAATAATATTTAAAAGTAAAAAAATATATTTTTATATAAATTCATTTTTAGATTATATTTTTTAGATCTAAAAAAAATGGTTTTAATTTATAAATAAATTATAATATATTAAATTTAAAATATTAACTTATGTTTATTTATTTTTTCTAAAATATAATGAGAATATAGAATATAAATCTGAAATAAATTTAAACTAAAACACAATATAAATAATATCTTATATTAATTTATGTAAAGTATATATTTATAAATACATATTTATTTTGTTTTATTTAAAAAATATTAATTTAATTATCAAAATAAACAAATTAATATAATATATAAAAAAATAAGTATTTAATATTTTTATTATAAATTATTATATTTTTTTGATTAAATTATATATATATAAAAAATATATAATTAAAATCTAAAATAAAATTTAAATTTATATATATAAGTATATTTATGAAATTTATTATAATATATTTAAATACTAATTTATTAAAAAATAAACGAAAACCAATATCATTTATATTTAAAAATAAAAATATTAATTAAATTGTATTGAAATAATATTATAAAAAAATAATAATAATATTTAATATATAAATAAATAAAATTTATCAATGATCTTTATCTTAAATGTCTTAAAAATTACTTTAAAATAATAAAAACTATTCCGGAATGAATGTATTTAAAATAATTTTATCCAAAAGTACAGTTTATTAATATATTTTTAACAAAGTTGCATATAAAATTAGAAATTTTCTATCAAATTATAAATAATCATATTAAAACTATAAAAAGACTATAATTTTTCTTATAAAAAAATCATAATTTTTATTTTTATAAAATTCCATTTTTATTTCTTGTAAAATTTCTTCGAAAATTTAAACATTAAAATTATTTTCTTTCAAAAATTAATTTATATTTTTTTCTTAAAAAAATCCATTTTCTATACACATTAATGAAAATCTATAAATACTCATTCTTTTAGATTATAATCCATTAATATTAAATAAAAGAT